AACTCATGGCTTCTGGATACTAATTAAAAAAAAAAAAAATCTCACAGTACCTTTTGCAAAGTCACCAATTCGTCTTGTCCCTGTCCGATAACATCCGGTAATACGTGCAGCAGAAGAAACCAACCGTGAGCCTCATGAACTCAGGTGGGCCCACTCTCTGAAAATGTCTAGGAGCTCGTGGGCCGAAACATTTGTCGACGAGAGGTTACTTCTACTGACGATTGGTAGACCCCTGCTGTACATGCTCCCCTGTGGAGTTTCTTCTTATTCTTACAGTTCCTCGTGTTGCGGTGACCCCCAACCGAACAATTATTCTCGTTGCTGCTTCATAACTTCAGTTAAATATGTGTTTTCCGATGGTCTTAGGCGACCCTTGTGAAAGGGTCGTTCGATCCACAAAAGGAGTCGCCACCCATAGGTTGAAAACCGCTGCCTTACAGCTTTGAGTACATCGTTAACACAGTGGGTCCGTATACCTTTCTCAACGTGCTGAGGGAGGTACGTGTCTCTCTTGACTTCTTTTTTCTACACTGCTAGCTGGGTGTGCCATTGAACCTCGCCAGGTTGTGATAGGGACATTCTTGCAGGACATGTTTTCTGGTTTGCACACACAGCCCACACGGGCACAATGGTGAACTACTTAGACAAAGCCAGTGCCTGTGCTTGTTAGGTTTGTTATGTCCTTTCCTGAGGTGTAGAATAATGACCTGCCCATGTCGGTCAAGTAAGTGCTAGTCATCTATGACCTAATTCTGCTTACTTCTAACAGACTGGATGGCCCTTCTCTTCTCAAAATATCTCACTGCAATCTAAAGGTCAAGGTCAAGTCGGGAGATGTGTACCAGCGTCATTGCACATGGTTATAAACCATAAGTGCTCTGCCACCAGTCCGGACAGCTGATAAGAATTGCCACCTGTGTCGCCTTTCGCACGTAACTCTGTAGCCACAGCGACGTTCCTCCATTTACCCCAGAATGTCACTCTGGTACCCATTTCCTAAAGAGTGGGTGAACCCCGGGAACAGCCCGGTTTCGAACACTGACTGTGGCTGCAGCGAGTCGCAGCTGGATTTGAAAGCGAGTCGGTTATCGACTGCGCTAACGTTGCCACTGCAAGCTCTTTCTGTTCACATTCTGTCCCTTTCTTAGCAAGCCTAACCGCCGTAGTAATCAAGGCCCCGTCCTTTTCTGCAAGCAGAAATACTGGAGTTTTAGTCTGTGTCTGTAATTATCCCCTCCTTTTCTGCAAGCAGAAATACTGGAGTTTTAGTCTGTGACTGTAATTCCCCCCTCCTTTTCTGCAAGCAGAAATACTGGAGTTTTAGTCTGTGACTGTAATTATCCCCTCCTTTTCTGCAAGCAGAAATACTGGAGTTTTAGTCTGTGACTGAAATTATCACCTCCTTTTCTGCAAGCAGAAATACTGGAGTTTTAGTCTGTGACTGTAATTATCCCCTCTTTTTCTGCAAGCAGAAATACTGGAGTTTTAGTCTGTGACTGTAATTATCCCCTCCTTTTCTGCAAGCAGAATACTGGAGTTTTAGTCTGTGACTGTAATTATCCCCTTCTTTTCTGCAAGCAGAAATACTGGAGTTTTAGTCTGTGACTGTAATTATCCCCTTCTTTTCCGCAAGCAGAAATACTGGAGTTTTAGTCTGTGACTGTAATTATCCCCTCCTTTTCTGCAAGCAGATATACTGGAGTTTTAGTCAGTGACTGTAATTATCCCCTCCTTTTCTGCAAGCAGATATACTGGAGTTTTAGTCTGTGACTGTAATTATCCCCTCCTTTTCTGCAAGCAGAAATACTGGAGTTTTAGTCTGTGACTGTAATTATCCCCTCCTTTACTGCAAGCAGAAATACTGGAGTTTTAGTCTGTGACTGTAATTATCCCCTCATTTTCTGCAAGCAGATATACTGGAGTTTTAGTCTTAACTGTAATTCCCCCCTCCTTTTTTTCCAACTAGAAATATTGGAGTTTTAGTTTGTAGCTTTTATTCCCCCCTCCTTTTTTTGCAAGCAGAAATACTGGCGTTTTTGTCTGTTTTTTGTAATCCCCCCCCCCCCCCCCCCCCCCCCCCCCCCCCCCCCTTTCTCAACACCAGCTCACTTCTACAGAGGAAACCGGAGAGGCACACAAGGTCAATGCGACTTGTCCCCTCGAAATAGATTGATCAGATTATGGATATTATAACTCAGTTATTGAATAACATGATTACATTATTCATAATGCTTCTTCGCGTCTCGCAGACCTCGTTAATTTCGTTTGCGAGGTTTTTCATCGCTTGATTTTTTATTCTCTTGCGGTTTTTATCGGCAAAGTCACGTCTCGGTAATAGAGTTCGTCCATTTGGTTAAACAATACCTGCGGCTGTTTTCGTGAGTTTGCATACTTGGTTCTATATTTTTGTAAAATACAGGCCGGAAATGAGCGACCAAGGCGTTCTTGGTCCGCGGTTTCTGCTAGGAGGTCAGGTGGTAGACTTAAGAAAGTCTGAGGGAGGTTCGTGTCATTCCTGACTTCTTTTTCTACACTGCTAGCTATGTGTGCCATTGAACTTCGCCAGGTTGTGCTTGCCCTATGCAGCGTCTTTTCCTCATTTCTTGGTGTACTAGAATGTGTCTAATTTTCCTATCGCTTTCCCCAAGTATCTACACTGGTGGTTATGCCATCCTGTTTAAATAACCATGTTCTGCACTAGGCGTTGGATTGGACACACGTTGAGAAAACCTGTGAACAACATAGCTAGAAAGTCTTTGCACTAGAACCCACAGGGAATGGAAGCAAAGGCCTTACTTGGTGGCGTGCAATGCTAAGCCATAATATATGGCGCAAAAAAGGCTGATCGCAATTATAACCCAAAGCTCACTCTTTAGGGATGCTGGCTGAACCAGGCAATGTTTTATTTTTTCGCAAAGCAAGTCGAGTCAAGCGATGTGCCTAGAAAGCTCGCCTGCCTGCCCAAAGGTCTTGGGTTCGGATCTGCATCGAGGCAGATTTTCTTTAAGCAGATGCACTCCGACAGCAAAAGACACATGCCTAATTAGTAAACTTTTACAAAATGCTTATATGGGGGCAGTGGGTCTATTCTTTGTGTGTGTGTTTTAGACCCCAAAACTGGGTCCTGGAACACACAGGGAAAAATTGGTTTATGAAGCTTTGAGTCTAGCATAATATGTTCGAAATTCTACCAACGTAAAAGAGTCCTTTACTTCTCTTTTAGTAGGCCAGTATTGTCCCAGAGTACACCCACTCGTACACCCATCCACACACACACGCACACATCTGCGTAGGCAGAAATCTATCAAGACTTCCGTAATAAACACATCCCTTACTTCGAACGAACAGACCGGCTCGAGACAGTGGAAGCAAAAGGCGATAACGCTTTCACTTGCTAATATCCTTAACAAGATTAGGTTAAGAGAAAATTTTACCCTATTATGACAAGCGGACTTATTAGATGCTGAGGCATGAAGCCACAATACTGGAGGTAGTCGTTGGGCTGGCGTCTGTGTGCACTGTTTTGGGTAAATGGGAGTTCCGCCATTACGCCGGTCGTACGTGGCGCCGCCTTTCGGGTGAAAACGAGCAGCAAGAGGGATAATTCATTAAATTTACAAATTAGAGAGACACGGAAGGCGAGAGAATCATATCGCCTGTAGAATCCAGTGTTGATTTTTCCCGGCACCAGAGTTCGGACCAGTTTACCAGTGGAAGAAGCCGGCAAATGGTTTAACGTGATTTGGAAGCCCCAAAGCAGGAAGGTTAGCGGATTATGTACACAAGCTAAGGGAAACGAAAAACTGGCGGTAATTTTATCAGGTCGGGGCGGTGGCGACACAAGCGAGTTTAACTGAGTTAGTTTCACACATTCTTGTGAAAGGATCGAAGGTTTTTGGTTGGGGGTGATGTGGAGAGTTGGAGCAGGAGGTAAAGGTGGGTGGACTGGTGGTTACAGTGATGGATGGGGGGATAGACAGGTGGGTTAGGGAGATGCGGGTCGCTGGGTGGAGAGATAAGAGGTACGAGCGTTTTGTGAATCATCATCATCATCATAAACCACTTCTGCCGTTAAGCGCGTAGGGAGGAATAATTTGCGATCCAGTGTACGTTGGCTGCCACTGGCTATTGTCATGTCGTAAAGGCGTAGAGTGTCTTTAATGTTGTCGGTCCATTTTTCCGAAGCCGTCCTCTTGCTCGTGTAGCTGATCTTCTAAGATGTAGTGCCTGTGATGGTATTTAATCTTGCTGTATTCTAACGAGATGGCCATACCACTTGATCTGCTGTTTCTCGATGAATCTAGTAGAAGGTGTCGTTCCCACAATTTGCCTGATTTGGGAATAGTTAGGTTTGTTCTGTCTATTTTTATTTTTATCCCCCACCCCTAACCCTCTCCCTGCTGTTACTGCTATTATGCTGCTGCTGCTGCTGCTTCTACTGGTACTTCTTCTTCACGCCCATCAGCTGCAAACTCCGGCGGAAAGTTCCGTGTGTTCGTCCACCTCTGGATATTAGTCTCTTTCTAGAACCTGAGTGTTGCGTGTACATCCGTTTTGCCGATCTCAATTTTGTTTTCTTCAGATTGTTGGTTCCCGTGTCTCTCAGGCAGATGCGCTATAATTTCGAAGGAAGCCCTTCAGTTAGTCAACTCTTAAGATAGTTGGGGAGAAAGTGGGTCTATTCTTGCCCCTCCCCCCCCCCCCCCCACAATTTGGTCCTTGTTTCCACGCAGAGAACTGCTAATATTATCACCACCACCACCACCACCAAAATCACCGTACAACCACCACTACTACTACTGCTACTACTACTACTACTACAACTACTACTAATACTACTATTACTACTACAACCACCACCATCCCCTACAACAACCACCACCATCCCTACTATTAATAATAATATTACGCACACAAACAAAACATATGCTCCTTAAAGCTCACTTTTCTTTATAAATTGTATGTGTCATTTCTAATAATTTTCGTATGAAATCTTCCAGGTATGGTTCCAAAACAGACGAGCAAAGTGCAGAAAACAAGAGAGTCAGTTGCAGAAAGGTAAATACTGTTTTGTTTTCCACACTTCATTAATTGTATGGATGGTACAGTTATCTTTTTGTGTACTTGTTTAGTTATGTTTTCCACACTTCATTAATTGTAAGGATAGTACAGTTATCTTTTTGTCTACTTGTTAAGTTATATTTTCCACACTTCATTAATTGTATGGATGGTACAGTTATCTTTTTGTGTACTTGTTTAGTTATGTTTTCCACACTTCATTAATTGTAAGGATAGTACAGTTATCTTTTTGTCTACTTGTTAAGTATTTTTTCCCACACTTTAATTAATTGTATGGATGGTACAGTTATCTTTTTGTGTACTTGTTTAGTTATGTTTTCCACACTTCATTAATTGTAAGGATAGTACAGTTATCTTTTTGTCTACTTGTTAAGTTATATTTTCCACACTTCATTAATTGTATGGATAGTACAGTTATCTTTTTGTGTACTTGTTTAGTTATGTTTTCCACACTTCATTAATTGTAAGGATAGTACAGTTATCTTTTTGTCTACTTGTTAAGTTATATTTTCCACACTTCATTAATTGTATGGATAGCACAGTTATCTTTCGAGTGCTTGTGTAGTTTTATTTCGACACTTCATTAACTGAAGAGATAGCAATTGTCATTTCGTGTGCTTTGTAGTTTTGTTTCCACACTTCATTAATTGCAGAGAAAGCACAGTTATCATTTCGTGTGCTTTGTAGTTTTGTTTTCCACACTTCATTAATTGCAGAGAAAGCACAGTTATCATTTCGTGTGCTTTGTAGTTTTGTTTTCCACACTTCATTAATTGCAGAGAAAGCACAGTTATCATTTCGTGTGCTTGATTACTTTTTTTTTCTATACTTCATTAATTGCTTATTTACTACAGTTATCATTTCGTGTGCTTGTATAGCTTATTTTTCTTAACGCCTTGCCTACTGCGTATTATCATCATCACCCCCTTAGCGAGCCCTTTACAGACCGTCAATCTTTTCGACCCCACCCCTCCCCCTGCTAACCCCCATCAGCGATTGTCCAGGATGGGGTGAGTGGCTTTGGCCTTGTTTAATTTTGCAATAATAATAATTAAAACATGTATTATTTTTATTACTATTGTTGCAAAATTAAACAAGGCTTAAACCCTTTAGGGCCCCCATTTCCCATAAATTATTGGGGCCCTTTGTGTGCTCTTTTGTTTACTGGTGCAATTATTATTATTATTTTAATTTTTTTAACATCATCATTATTATTATTGTGTGCTTAATGGTAAATTGAAAAATATCTGAATTCTTCTTAACTGTACAAAGAAACGCTTAAAAAAAAATGTCTATTGCATACAGGGTTATTCAAAATTATGGATACATTTTCAATCATATATATTTCCTTGAATATATATTACATATTAATAATATACATACAAGAGAGGGTGGGGGGTCTAAAGTTTAGTGACCTACAACGGAGGTTATAGATCTTCAATATGGCCGCCGTCTGCTGCACGACAAATATCTCAGCCATAGCCGAATTCATCCCAGACGCGAAGAAGCATCTCCTGTGTAACTAAATTCACTGCGACTGTACAAGTGGATGGTTAGGCAACTGCTCTCGAGACCTAGTATTGGAAACAGTAGACCAGGGCTGCCAATGGGATTTTTTTGAGAAACCCAGCTTTTTTTAACAAAAACCCAAGCAATACATAGACAAAGAACAAGAAAACAAAATAAAAAAACCCAGATTGTTAAAATGTACCAAAATTTATAGTACGAAACGAGAACAATTACCACTTTCTATAAGGATATACTTTTAAAAAAACCTAGATTTCCCTAAGGCCTCTGAGAAAAACCCAGATCTGGGGGTAAAAACCCAGCATTGGCACCCCTGCAGTAGACCTTCCCCTCTCTCTTGTGTATATATTATCCTCGTCTTCTTTTGCGTTCGGTTTCGTATGCTTAGGTCAGACTGTCAGGCAGCACGGCTGCCTCTGTGAACTCGCATGACAGTTGCAGCTCCTTCATGTTCCCCCAGCCTGCCCTGCACTGTTGAGGCCAGGTTTCTTTCCGTAGCTGTAGTTAGAGTGGGCATACCTGCAGGATGTGCTCTGGTGTTTCTGGTCCTGTCTGACACACTCTACATGTACATGAATGTAAGTGTATCCATAATTTTGAATAACCTTGCATATAGGAAGACTCCTCCCAACAACATTTTTTGTGTGTGGGGGAGGGGGCCCTTAAGGGTCATGAGCCCCTAGGTTTCAACGTCTTTTTTCCAAGTATATTCATATGACACTGAACACATCACCATCATCATCATTTGTAACGAAATGGCCAAGCCTTTGGCTGCGCGCTGTGAAGGTCGTGGGTTCGTTTCATAGCGGCACCATTCAGTTCACGAGTGCAATTGTTATGGAGATCACTGGGGATTGTCGCCAGAGCTACGGAGGTCGTGCTCAGTGTGATACTTTTGGCAGGAAGTTAGCTGTTTTGGGGAGAGAGACAGAGAGCCATGTGGTTAAAACCGAGTGCAATGAAGTCGATCCTCTCACCTTTACCTTCATCGTGGTGAATGCTAACTAAACATAATACTAAAGTAAAGTAAAGGTCATTTTCCCACGCCATTAGGCGAATAGGGCATATAGGGCTAGACTTAAATTTGTATAGACCAATCGGCACAAAATGGGTGATGTGGTCAGCATCACACCGGCCGCCTTTACTTCCCGGACTTCACCCGGTATCCACTCAAGGCTGGGTCGACCTGGAAGTCAAGGTCATTTTTGAAAAAAGTCTGGCTCCGCCAGGGAGCGAACCCACGGCCTTCCGATCCAAACGGGAGCGTCTAGCCGCTATGCAACGGCGACTCCCATATAATTTCAAACTTGAAATAAAGGGAAATATATAAACAAATACTTTTGCAGAGACTTTCTATAAATATTTAAAGGGAGCCTTTTTGTACCCTTACAAAATTATTTTGGAAGTTCAAGGAAACTATGACATACAGACATTCTACCCTCTCTCTGTCCCCATCTCTCTCGCTCACTCATCCGCTCCTGCTCCCACTCCCTCACTCGCTCTTCGGCTCCCTCGCTCTCTCGCTCGTACCGAAATCTTTTATTCCGCGACGGGGAAAATAGAAATAAAGCGCCTTTCAACACTTTCCTCTTGCCGGAGAAAAAGATCTATTCCCCCCAAAACTAGATACCGTTTTAATGAATAACGGGCAGATTAATTAGATTATGTCTTGAATTCGCGGACGTGGGGGCCGTGCCCCGCTATTAACCCAGCCGTCTCGAAGGGAAAGAGAGGCGAAGACTTAATCAATTTAATTAAGAGGATCTAGAGAGCTAATTGGTAAAGGCACCGCGATAGTCTCTGGGGGATTTGGCGTACGTCTGCGGAGACGTGTGCAGTTTGGGGCCTTTCACCACTGTCTCCTAAATCCGACCAATTCTTCCGTCGCTGTCTCTTTTTCCCGACTTTTCCCGGACCTTTTGAAAGCTTACGTACGGTTTCATTATTCACGAGTTTTGGTGACTTTCTCGCGTCCGTGTATCTTTTTTTTTTTTTCCTTATTCTTATTCTTCCATCGAAAATGCCAGTTTGCTGTCGTTTGCAAATGGTATTTTTGTTTTTAAATTGAGAATTGGTTTGTCCTTGTGTGCGTAATTGTTGCGTGATTATTTTTATCATTTTATAAGCTTTTATTAAGTGCGGTTTTGTTTGTTATTTAATTTTAGTTAAGAAGAACGTGTGGATTCTTATTGTAAATGAAGTTCAGAATAACTGCTGGCCTTTTTTTTTTTTTACCGGAGAAAGGGGCCCCTGCAAAGAAAAATTGTATTGGGGGTGTGAGGATGTGGAGGGAGTTGTTCAGTGTTCCTCTACCCACAATGAATTTTATGCAAAAAACGGAAGTGGGGGAAAAAAAAGGGGGGGGGGGGGGTCAATGGGACTAACATCCCAGTTAAAGGTGACATCATCATCCTGTAGCAGGTCCTTTGCAGAACGTCGCTGTCATCAGGGTCTGCCTGAAAGAAACAACTCACTGTCTGGCCAGCCTTCCTGCTTCGTGCATTTTCAAGGAGTCACTTATATACCTTGTCCATCTTCGAGTTGGTTGGCCCCTGCCCCACCTTCCTGGTACCATGCCTTTTGATATTATTTGGCTTCCAGTCCGCCGTAATGTTTGATATTATGTTAAAGATACGAATGTGGTGACTGGCAAAAATTGTTATTACATACTTGAAATAATATAAAATGTTTTAAGAACTAATTGTAAGGATAATTATTTCTACATATGGTTAAATTGGGCAACTCTTAGCTCACTCACAAATAATGTGTGGGGGAGATTTTATTCACAAATATTGTGTGGGGGAGATTTTATTTACACATATTGTGTGGGGGAGATTTTATTTACACATATTGTGGGGGGATTTTACTCACAAATATTGTGTGGGGGAGATTTTATTTACACATATTGTGTGGGGGAGATTTTATTTACACATATTGTGTAAAAAGATTGACTATTTATTCAATTCCACACCTATGTGTGTGGGGGAGATTTTATTTACACATATTGTGTGGGGGAGATTTTATTTACACATATTGTGTGGGGGAGATTTTATTCACAATTATTGTGTGGGGGAGATTTTATTCACAAATATTGTGTGGGGGAGATTTTATTCACAAATATTGTCTAGGGGAGATTTTAATAATGGAATTGAGTACAAGTATTGACTATTTTGGAATAAACTAAGTTGCGTAATAGTCCCGGGAGTAGAAGCGGCCGGCGTGATGCTGACCACATCACCAATCTTGTGCCGTTGTCTATAAAATATAGGTCTAGCCCTATATGCACTATACGCCTAAAGGCGTGGAAAAGGGTCCTTTACTTTTTTCAAGTTGCGTAATAGAGAAGGTTTTTCTTGTATATGGAGTTGAGTAGTAATTTTTGGTCTTTTTTAATTATCGTGGTTGAGTAGTACTGTTGGTCTTTTTTTTTTTTTTTTTAATAAATGTAGTTGAGTAGAATTGTTGGTTTTTATAAATGCGGTTAAGGAGTACAGTTGGGCATTTTTTTAATAAATGTGGTTAAGT